AGAGTACCATGGTGTCACAGCTCACAGCAATCTCAAACTCTTGGGCTCAAGCGATTCTCTTGCCTCAGCCTCCCAAGCAGCTGGGACTACAGGCACCTGCCACAATGCCTGGCTATTTTTAGAGACGGGTTTCACTCTTGCTCAGGCAATCCACTCATCACAGCCTCTCAGGTACTCAGGTCTCAAACCCATGAGCTCAGGCAATCCACCCGTCTCAGCCTCTCAGAGTACTAGGATTACAGGTGTGAGCCACCACACCCGGCCTAACACGTTCTTAAACAGAAGTCAACACTTCCTGCATGGTAACTCTTCTGTTTAGCCCTAGGCTGATAAAGACCTTATGGAGTCTTTAGGCTGGTTTTACAGATGAGGAAACTGAAATGCTGAGAAGGGAAGTCCTTTACACTGTGTTGGACTAAATCAGTATCTGTGAAATAAAGAGCTGTGGGATCCCCTTCAGTCCTCTGAACCACCTGAGCAGAGGGGCTTGCCAGCTCTGTTTCATGGAGGTAGAAGCAGAGGCTTAGAGGGCACCATACACAGTAGAGCTAAGACACAAATCATAGCACTCACTACATGCCAGGTACTATCCCAGACACAGATGGGCATGTGGAATCCTCTCTAGGGCCCTCTCAGGTAGGCAGCATTATCCACATTCTACAGAAGCCAAGCCCAGGAGAGATTCATTGGTGACTTCAGACTCCACATTCCCAAGCAATGATTAAATGCCAGGCCCACTCATTTGCTTACCCTGCTAGGTAGGCCACGTGGCCTGTGCTAGGGTCACAGGTTAGGCCGCTGCTGTTCTGGGCTGTGATGCCAAGCACCTTCTCCAGTGACACCTGCAAAGAAAAGGCCAAGTCAGAAGCACATGCCCAGCAGGCTCCACATGGCACAGTCACCTCAGCCACCCATTCAGTCACTGCTGCATTCAACACACACTCGCAGGGCTTCTGTAGTCACGCCAGCTACCAGCAGCCCCACTTGCTTCTCTGGACATTCCTTTGACAAATACAGAGAACTAGGTGAAGGGCAGAGTGGTGAGGAAGACAGAAAACTTCCTGCTCCCCAGAGCCCACATTCTGCTGGTGATGGGGACAAAAGACATAGGAAAAGAGCAGAACAATATGTGTAATAGATGTCAGGTGATGACAGGATCAATAGAGAAAATTAAAGCAGGAAGGAGATTGGGAATGAAGGAGAAGGGAAGGACGATACAGTGAGAAGGTGACCTGGGAATAAGTTTCTAAGTACTTTTATAGGGATGAAAGACTTGGATCCCTTCAACAAGCCAGGGAAGAAAGCTCTATTATCACCCCAGTTTCACAAATGAGGATACTGAGGCCCAAGATCCTACACCTGGGAGGGGCAATGTTGGCATACAAATCCAGACAGTCTGGCCCCAAAGCCAGCACTTTGGGCCCTGCCAGGGAAGCACAGTAGTGAGCAAAAGGAGACACTGTTCCCTCATCAAATTCACAGTCCAGAGGCTCTAGAGCAAGGGTTCTCAACCTTTGGGGGTAGAACAACCCTTTCACAAGGGTTGCCGAAATACATCCTGCATATCAGATATTTACATTACGATTCATAACAGTAGCAAAATTACAGTTATGAAGTAGCAATGAAAATAATTTTATGGTTGGGGGTCACCACAACATGAGGAACTGTATTAAAGGGTCGTGGCATTAGGAAGATTGAGAACCACTGCTCCAGAGGTTTCAACAACTAAAGAAATAAGTAAATAATCACATTTAATATTTAAACAATTCTTGAGCCCGGTGCGGTGGCTCATGTCTGTAATCCCAGCACTTGGGAGGCAGAGGTGGGTGGATTGCCTGAGCTCACATGTTGGAGACCAGCCTGAGCTGGAACGAGACCTTGTCTCTAAAACTAGCCAGGCATTGTGGCGGGCACCTGTAGTCCCAGCTACTCAGGAGGCTGCGGCAAGAGAACTGCTTAAGCCCAAGAGTTTGAGGTTGCTGTGAGCTATGATGCCACTGCACTCTATCAAAGGCAACAAAGTGAGATTGTTACTTTCATATCTTGAATAGACTACTTTCTAATTATTATAGAATAAACCATTCTCAAGCAAGTCCTTAGGCTCAGAATTGATAGGCAAATATGAATAATAGCTAACATTTATTGAGCATTTACCAGAAGCAAGGTACTGTTCAAATACTTATAACCATATTAACCCTATGTCACTATTGTCATCATCACCCCCATCTTATAGATGATAAATCAGAGGCTGAGAGGAGTTACCCACCCAGGGAGGAGCCAGGATCCTAACACAGACAACCAAACAGTGGCTCTCACGCTGTTTTATCTGTTGATCACCATTACTAAGCACTGGTATAACTGGTCATTTTTATACTATGTCTTTTTTTTTAGACATACGCTCACTATGTTGCTCTGGGTACAGTGCCGTGGTGTCACAGCTCACAGAAACCTCAAACTCTTGGGCTCTAGCAATTCTCTTGCCTCAGCCTCCCAAGGAGCTTGGACTACAGGCACCCACCAGTATGCCCAGCTATTTTTTGGTTGTAGTTGTCATTGTTGTTTATGGCCCAGGCTAGATTTGAACCCGCCAGCTCCAGTGTATGTGGCTGGCGCCCTAGCTGCTGAGCTATAGGCGCCAAGCCTAGACTATATCTTTTTTAAGCCAGATGGACTCTGTGTTGCCAAACAAATAATATAAATAAATGACATTGCCTCAAATACATCATATTAACAGTATTGGCTAACAGAGTACTTGCAATGTGCCAGATGTTGTTCTAAGTTAGGCGTTCTCAAACTATGGCCCGCAGGCCACATGCAGCCCGCCTAGGACATTTATCTGGCCTGCCGCTGCTGCCTGTCCTGTTTAGCAGCTAACTCTTCCCGAGGCCCGCAGTCCAGTCCTCCAACGGTCTGAGGGTCAGTGAACTGGCCCCCTGTTTAAAAAGTTTGAGGACCCCTCTTCTAAGTAATTAAGATATGTGAGCACATTTAATCCTCACAAATATCCTATGAAGGATGTTCACATCATCATTCCCATTTTATAGATGAGAAAACTGAGGCACAGAAAAGTTCATAACTTGGTAAGAAGAACAGGATTTTTTTTTGAGACAGAGTTTCACTTTGTCATCCTTGGTAGAGTGCTGTGGCATCATAGCTCACAGTAACCTCAAACTCTTGGGCTCAAGTGATTCTCTTGCCTCAGCCTCCAGAGTAGCTGGGACTATAGGCACCAGCCACAATGCCTGGCTAGTTTTAGAGACAGGGTCTCGCTGTGGCTCAGGTTGGTCTCAAACTCCTGAGCTCAAGCAATCCACCCACCCTGGCCTCCCAGAGTGCTAGGATTATTACAGTTGTGAGCCACTGTCCCTGGCCTAGAAGAAAAGGATTAAGGTTTAAGCTCAAGCAGTCTGGGTCCAACCAGACAGCCCAGAAGTCTGTGCTCTTAACCACCTTGCTATATTATACTGACTCTGCTATTGTTATTCTCCTACATATATAGTTTAATAGCTCACAAGGCACTTTCAGGAACATATAAGACAAAGGCCGTGAAGTATAGGGCACAAAGTCAGAGATGAAGATGGGTGGGGTACACGCAGGGCTTTCTGGGTAGGAATACTTAATTCAGGCTGAGACTTGAGGGTTACAGGTAGATTACCAAAAAGCCCAGGCGGAGAGCTCACCAAACACAAAGGATAGGAAGCAGAAAAGAACTTGGAGCCTCAGGAAAACAGAAAGCAGGACAGCGTGACTGAACCTTGGTGAGAGGAAGAACATAGGAGGTACAGCCAGAGAGGTAGGCAGAAGCCACTTGAAGCCCTGAAGCCAGGAGTGGGAGATGGAATCACAGTGCAGCAGGGTGAAGGAAACCGTGGAGTAGGAATAGTCCCATTAGCAATGACCAGATACCCATCCCCTATCTGGAATCTGTGCCAAAATGGTCACAGTTACAATTTCATCTCCCTGTAAAGCGATGTTACTGTTACATTCGTTTTTAGAAAAAATGGATTTTGTTCCTAGAGAGTTGAAGACCAGTTTTTAGATTGCTGCAGTGCTAATGGGATTCCTTCTGCCCACTCTAACATCATTTTTCCTTCTGTGTTTTTGGGTCTCAGGATTTAGGGAACTGTCTGTACGCCCAGACAGGAAACCTGTTCTGAGATTTTACAAATAATTTCTCACATCCTTTCCGTGGTTTTGAGTGGTGATATGGAATAAAAATCCCACATTGGTGAGGAAAGAGGATGGAGGCGGCAGAGTGTGTTGAAAAGGGAGGACAGAAACTGGGGAAGAGCTCCGGCACGTAGCACTCTGGACTGAACCCAGAGAGAGCCACCTCAACAAAGTTAAAGTGCCCAGAGATGTCTAAAGGATACCGAATGAGGCTTAAGGTATAGAGATCCTAGGCAGTGATTTGCAGAACCACAATACTCCCGAAGAAGTGGGAATCAGGGGATCAGTGCCTGTAGCTCAAGTGGCTAAGGCGCCAGCCACATACACCTAAGGTGGCAGGTTCGAATCCAGGCTGGCCCGCCAAATAACAATGACAGCTGCAACCAAAAAATAACCGAGCCGTTGTGGCGGGCACCTGTGGTCCCAGCTACTTGGGAGGCTGAGACAGGAGACTCGCTTGAGCTCCAGGAGTTGGAGGTTGCTGTGAGCTGCGATGCTACGGCACTCTACCCAGGGGGACAGCTTGGGATTCTGTCTTTTTCTTTTTTTTTAATTGAATGGTAACTGTGTAAGTTAATGCACTTCTGGGGTACAGTGTGGTGTTTTCACACACAATCCGAAACACTTCCATCAAACTGGTTAACACAGCCTTCATGTCATTTTCTTAGTTATTGTGTTAAAACGTTCATATTCTACTCATAAAAAGATTCACTTGTACCCTTGTAAGATAAACCACAGAAGTG